GCCAAATACAGTAAACATTGGTTAGTTTTGACAAATGAATGGATGAAAAAAAATGAACAAAATTGAAAATTGTAAGGAATTTTTTTTTGTTTTGTCCTCCGTTATTAAATAAAATTTAACTACATTATAATCTAAAATAGGTTTCTTCAAATTGTTTACTGTCCCCCAAGCATTAGCCACAGGCCGCAATGAATTATGGTCCGAGAATAGCCTTGATTAGCTCAGACCGAAATAGCCTACATTAATGTTTATATTCACTCTAATGTCTCTAATTAAACATAAAAACAAGAAACTAAAGAACATACAGAATTCTTRCTCACCGGAAAAAGAAATCAGTGACTTCCGTGTTAGAGTTGTCTCCGTTCGTTGCACGAGTTTTCTTGGTCCAGCAGCAATAAAAAGTTGGTCTTCCATTGAACGCAACAGAATTTTTAGGGATTTTTTTTTAGTTTAGTTTTTGTTTGTTTTTAGCTTTTAAAACATTTTTTTGTAAAATAGAAAACTAATTTTAAAGCATACCCTGGTTTTCACCACCTTCTTGCGCATCATCTGGTCGCAGGTGTTTGTAACGAACCTGTTGCATTTAATGACTCCTGGTAAATTTGAGCTCCACACGTTTCAAAGGAGAGCACAGTGAAAGCAGCGACAACAAAAACAAACAGGGGATCCCCTGGGTTTTTGGTTACTTAAATAAAATAACAAATGTATTTAGAATTTGTTTTTAATGAGGATAGTCCTGTTACTGACAGGGAGTTTCTTTGTTTAGAAAAAACGTCAAGAGTTTAAAAAAAACACTGTAGCTAATCATTTATTGTGTTATGTAGGCCTATGTCTTTTGTTTCCTGAACTTTTTAAAAAGAAAATAAATGTTCTCTTATCCAAATACACACTCACAGTTTTAGGTGTTTTTTTTTATTTCCTAATTTTATTTTTAAAGTCTAGAAACTTGAATCTAAAAATTTAGAGATTTTTTGAACAAATATTGACGCAGCCTGATTTGAACACCACACTGTTTATTTGTTTACCCTAGAAACAAAACTATGGAAGTCCATTTCTGCCACCCTGATGAAAAAATAAATAAAACTTGTATCTCATAATTATGACTTAGCTATCTCATAATTATGAGATAGTATCTATTTCATAATTATGACTTAGCTATCTCACTATTATGAGATACTATCTCATAATTATGAGATAGTATTGTTGGTTATGGAAATGGGCTTCCATAACAACAATGAAGTCATTTTACATTTATTTTTCTGTATTTGTCTTTCTTTATTCTTTGAACTTCAGTTATTTGCTGAAATGTTAACAGAGATTATATTTAATGAAGCGAAAAAYAATAGAAAATAAACCAAACTATTTTTTTGTGGATTTCAATTTGTCATTAATGTGCATGTTTTCGATAGGGTAGACTGAGTACAGTCGAGGCAGTTTTTGCTTTTCCCATTTCCACACAAAAGTTAGCATACACTAAGAAAAAACACTGAAAATAAAATATTTTATACATAATATAAATTTTATATGTTAACCACATATAATCAAGAAGTAATAGCCCCAAGTTATTTATATTTTTCACAGTTAATCAAAAACAAAAAGTTATTTTTTTTGTCTCAACTTATATAAAAAACTTAAAATGCTGGAAAGCTAACAAGTCAATCATTGCCAAATGCACAAAAGTATATACTGTAATTAGGAATTGTTTTATGTATATTCAAAAAATGATGTTGTACACTTCAATAATGCATTTATTTTATTTACATTGACTCTAACATGGGTTAAAATGTGAAAAAAACTGTAAAACAAATTAAATATTTAAAAAGACACATAAATTCTTGATTATTAATATACTTTTGCAGTATATTGGTATTCCTAAATGTTCTACAGTTCACAAGAATAGTTTGCATTCAAATAATAGCTTATTTAAGGTCTATTAAATTCAAATGAATGAATGAACATATTTAAACTATTGCTGCTAAACACCATGAAAAACAACATCAGGTACTGTTGAGACAGTGTGTCTCAGCTGTACCCTGGTGACCATGTTGCACATTTCACCGCTTTATGTAATAATCTTTAATGCCATGATGTCATGAAATATGTTATCTTTTAGGGGACAAAACTAATGTTTGCATATATTCAAGTTACATTTAGATGTCATTGTAGGGTAATAAGATATTCACTGTGGACGGGACATGGTAAAGTTAAAATCTAGCAATATCTTTGGAGTGGCGCTTTTCGTAAAGTTCAAATTTTCCACTATCAAAGAGGACACTAATACACATGTGCACAGCAAAAATCACAACTAACACTTGCTGCAAACAGAAGACATTGATGGTGCCTCAACTATACACGTCTCAAATCCACTCTGCCCTATTTGTTGCATTCAATTTGGAAAACAACCAAATTCAAAATGGATGCCAAAGCCAACAAAAAATAAGTTCCCACAAAAATGCGTTTAACTCAGTCAGTTGAACAGATGTTAAGCTAAAATTGAATGTGGTAGTAGCTGAGACTCATTCACAACATGCCCTCTGAGCAATATGTGTTGACGTGAAAGGCAGAAGTGATTTTGGCGGGAGAGGGAATCATTATGCTTATTTGAACAGGGAATTAAAAAATTCTGATGGGTTTGTCTGATAAGATTTATGAGGACGAAAGACGATGAGCGAGAGCAGAAAATAACAGAAAGAGAGAAAGAAAGCCAAGTCGACAGAGAAATCAGGAAGAAAGCGAAGCGCGCTGGAGGGATGGTTTGAATGAGAAAGATGGAGTGCAGACACAGGAAGAGTGCAAAGGGAGGAGAGATGAGAAGAAGAAGAAGAAAAAAACAGAAAAACACAACTCTGAGTCTGACAGTGAAGCACTGAGCTCTGCTGATGGCCCCTAATGAAGTACGGCAGCTGCAGAGGAGGAGYCCCTCTGACAGGAAGAGTCCCCACTCTGACTGATGCTGGAGAACACACACACCAACACACACTCAGCAGGAGGACTTTAAGCGCTACAAAACTGCAGCCGACAGACGAGCATCTGAGGAGGAGCAGAGGACTGACAGGCAGATTCTCCGTTTTTGTCCTCCGGTGAATGTCAGCAGGAATTATTTTCTAGATTAGGCCCTCGACCCTTCAATAAATCAAATTTTTTGCCCCAAATTTTACTAGTGAACGTCACGGCAAAAGGATTTAAAAATGGATTGTTTTGAGGAGTCGCTGGATTCCTGAAAACATCTGCAAGTCCAGGTCACAATCCTGTAAACAGAGACTAAGAACTAAAAATGATTCAAACTAAAAATTGCTGTTTGGATGAAAGTTGTTCCTTGTGGTTGTAGAAGGTCCTCTGCTGCCCCCTTCAGCATGAAAACAGCATGTTCCTGGATTTTTTTTCTTATTCTTTTATTTATTTATTGTAAAAATGCTGACAGTTTTTATAACCATTTGACATGTCAAAAATGTCAGTGTTAGCAAAACAAAGTCAGACTTTAAAAAAATCATGCTTCTTGCAGTCTTTTATAGATTTTCTTACATCAGATAATTTTTTTCTGTGACAAAATCWATTTTTGGAGGTAATAAATTGTGTTCAAGGATTTTTGTTTTTCAAATATTTAACATACAGGTGCTGGTCATAAAATTAGAATATCATGAAAAAGTAGATTTATTTCAGTAATTCCATTTAAAAAGTGAAACTTGT